AGAGCAGGAACAGGTCATTCGCCGGCGCAAGCTCAATCTTCCCGTTCCACAGGTCGGAGAGCGAGAACTCGAAGAGATTGTCAAGATTGGACAAGCGGGTGAGACTGCGCGGGATTTGGTGGGAACGTCGATCGGCGCGACCGAGGGCCTGGTTGGCGAGTACGAGGGACTGAGTCAGGCAAGAATGGCGAGGACGCCGCGGACCGCTCCGCAGGCGGACACCGTCATGGCAGAAGCAAGGAATCTGCGCATGATGTCCACCACCCAGACGCCGTTGCTTGGACAGGAGAACACGCCGCTCCATAGCACCGATGGTACCGGCTTTGAGAGCGCCACTCCTCGACATGCCATTGCCGCCACGCCAAACCCGCTCCTCGATGCGACACCAGCCCGCGGTGCATTGGGTACTCCACGGACTGTCGGCGCCACTCCCCTGCGCACTCCTATGCGGGACAACCTCAGCATCAACGATGGGCAATATGGCGAGACGCCAATGGACGAGAAGAGGCGGATCAATGCCGCTCGTCGTGCGCTCAAAGCGGGCTTCGCTAATCTGCCCAAGCCGGAAAACAATTTCGAGCTTGCAGAGGACGAAGACGAGGAGCAGGACGAGGAGACTGTGGTGTTGTCAGAGGAGGACGCGGCGGAGCGAGACGCCAAGCTCAAGGCGGCGAGAGAGGAGGAGGAGCGTCTAGAGCTGGAGAGGAGGAGTTCTGTCGTCAAGAGGGGTCTTCCTCGTCCGGTCAATGTGGATGTTGAGCAACTCTTGTCGGAACTGAACGCCGAGGCTGAGATGACTTCCGCCCTGGAGCTGATCAATCGTGAAGTCGCCATGCTGATGAAGCACGACTCGATCGCCCATCCTCAACCCGGAACTAACACCCCCGGTGGTACTCCCTCCGACTACGACATGCCCGAGGATGATTTCGTCGCGCAGGCAAAATCTGTGATCCACGTCGAGCTTGCTACTGCGATGGGTCTGCCGGGTGCAACCGACGAGCAGCTTCGTATCGCCATTACGACCATTGAGGATGATTCCGACTTTGACGAGTCGTGGAGCAAGCAACGCGAGAGTATGGTCTTTTCCCCTTCTGCCAAAGCATGGCTCCCTACCACGTCTCTGTCACCTCCAGCGCTGCACGAAGCGTATTCTTACATGATTTCTGCGTCTCGTGATCGCATGATTGCCGAAGCTACCAAAGCTGCAAAGGCTGAGAAGAAGCTCAGCAAGCAGCTTGGAGGGTATCAAGCGCTCAATGCCAAGGCGCGCAAGGGAATCCTAGATACCATGGAGGAGATCAATCAGACCAAGCGAGAGCTCGAGACGTTCTTGATGCTCAAGTCGATGGAAGATGCCGCTGTGCCGAGTCGGTTGGAAAAGAAGAGAGAAGAGGTTGCAGTGTTGGAGAGGAGAGAGAGGGATCTACAGGCGAGATATGCAGAGTTGAACGATGAGAGGAGGGACAGGCTTGCAGCTATTGAACAGGTGAGTCATGGCTCGTTCGCGCTGACATTTAGCTCGAAGAAGATCGAGAAGTACTCAAGGCGCAGTTTGCATTGGATGCACAGGAGGATATCAATGGAGTGTGATGCACGACTAACAGAACCATACTTGCATGCAGAGCTATACAACCATGCGTGAAGTTGTCCGGTCATGCGACAATACCTAATACTTGCATTCTTGCAGAACCAAATACCGGAGGCAATAATTTGTTTCAAACTTTGTTGTTCTTCACCTTGTTGATCTCTCCTGATCGTTTGCGCAATCGTCCTTGCCCTTGTCTCGTTTGTGGCTTTGTCCTTGTCGTGCTTGTATTGCTGCGTTGTCCTTGCGTGCTTGTATTATTTGGATGTTCTCGTTCTTTGGCCCGGAAGATGATAATGCGAAGAGTCGAGGACCGATCGTCGGTAAATCCATCAGAAAAGTCACCACACCCTCTACAAAGATCACCACAGCAAAACCTACCCTACCCAGCGCAATCGCACTTAAAAACGGTTCGAGCAGTAAACAAAATTCAGCACGTAGGAATGCCTCTAGCAGCAAGGATCTCTTGCGAGTGCAGATGAAGAAAGGGCCCTCGACACCAAAGAGGAAGAGAGCTACAGAAAGGATTGAATCGGAATCTGAGGGATCGTCTGACGATGGTCTCGAAAATCATAAACGAGGCAAAGTCTCCTCGGGGACCTCGACGCCTTTCGCGGGCGATGAGATGATGGATAGAAATGTCTGGAGAGGAGGAGGCGAGTGGGAGGGGTTCATGCCGTGTGAGGATGTTGTGAGGGGGATCAGACGAGAATGGTCAGGTCCTACTCCGCCTGGGAAAGGGGGCTTGGAGAGATACATGGCATGTGGGTTCTTGGTATTGATGGTGCTGAAAGTAGATTTCCCGCAAGAGGGGTTTGAGAATGGTGATACGCTGCCAAGTGTTGAGCTGCAGCACCCTGCAAAAGGGTGTAGAGAGAGGTGAGTTGTTGGAAAGAACTCGCTGACGGCAGATTTGTTTTGCTGCAAGCGACCATGCCCCGGGAGTATGAACCCGTTCATGAGCTACGTAAAGTCTTGCAGATGATCTTTGATCGTGAGTAGCCGTTTGTTGGCCATGCTGAGGACAGACTATATACCGGCAAAGCATAGGGACAAGTTTGGATACCTTCTACCGACCCATCTCGACCACCCTTCGCGCATGGCCTCGCCCCGTCCAGACGCAGTTATAACCCCACCGCCAGACGGTCCGACAGAGACCATCGGGGATGCCTTGCGGAAAGCACTCGCCCCGAATCGACGGGATGGTCCGGGCTTGATCAAGGCGATGGACCGCTTCAACGCCGCTATGGTCGGGATACAGGAGGACGGATCGATGGATGCGCACCTGAGCACGAAACAGCTCACGCGAGCAGAATGGTCGAAGCTCGTCGATGTCGTGCATGAACAGGCGTACTCTAGGGCCGTGGGGCCATACTCGCATGAGCTCGAGGTGGGTGGAATCCTGCGATTCTTGCTGATATCAGCATCACCCTAAACACCCAGACGAGGTTGCCAAGGCGATCACCGACATTGAAGACTCGTATGGAGAACTGCGTCACGAGTGAGTCTGCCTCCTACAGCGCTGACGGCAGCTTCATGACCAAGATCATCGAGCAAACCGGTCTAGGCCCAGACTCGGTCTTGTGAGTTTTCGTCCCGATCTCGCTGATATCAGTGTCGATCTCGGAAGCGGAGTCGGAAATTGCGTCGTCCAGGCTGCTTTACAAGCAGGATGCAAAAGGTACGTCCACTGCCTGTACCCGCTGACTATAGCTACGGCTTTGAACTCCTGCCAGTTCCCGCGCACTGCGCTCGGGTCCAGCTCGCCGAAGCCAGGCGCCGCTGGGCCATGTGGTACCTGGACGGCAATTCCAACACGGCAGTGTACGAGGGCGACTTTCGGGATCATTCAAAAGTCCATCGTCTGCTGGAAAAAGCCGACGTGGTGGTATGTGTGAGACCTGACGCTACTGACGCGACAGCTTGTAAATAACGAAGTCTTCCCTCCCTCACTCAACGACCACCTCACCAACATGTTTCTCGATCTAAAAGACGGCGCCATCATAGTCAGCCTCAAACCATTTGTCCCAGAAGGGTTCCGTATCAATGAGAGTAATGTGAGTAACTATGAGTGGCAACAGCTCATGTACCAGTGCGATAAGTTTGCCGCTGTCGTACGATCTACCCAGCATACCTATTATCAGGGCTGGGTCTCATGGAAGGCTGATTCCGGGACGTATTATATCCAAGTCAAGGATAAGAGTATGCGGGAGAAGTTTGAGGAGGATATGAAGCGAGGAAGGAATCGATGAGGCTTTGGTCTTCAAATCATGATCATATATCATTCAATGCATTGTCATATTTTCGAGGCGGAGGACTTGACCCTTATCTATACAATCTCAAGTACCCAAATCAAGCTAAAGGCACGCGTTGGCCGTCAGTTAGGTCTATGCAGGATAAGGCTTTTCAATGGCTCCCGACCATGTCAAGCAGCTGCGTGACCTTGAGGAGACTTGACAACACCGAGAAGCCGGACGAAAGCTTACAAAAGGATGCAGGCGCCTGCACTGCGTCACTCCCTGAAGTCCATGTGATCTTCCCGATCTCGACTGTTGTATATGCGATGAAGTATGAACCACAGACAGAAGTTTGTCATCTATCTGAACGCTGTATTGCCAACGATCATAGGGCAATCTCCCGGGAAGCTCTTCCAACCATTGCCACACTGCTCTGATTTTCAGACTGCTTCAGACGCTTCAGCCCCCCAAGTTTGGCGGGAGTGAGCAATGGCGTGGAGCGATGTGTCGCTGGGTTTCAACCCCGATTGAATTGGACTGTAATTATTCTAGATTCTAGCTGATTGAATTGGACTGTAATTATTCTAGATTCTAGTGTTATGAATAATTGTATTGTATGTGATTAGGGTTCTCAGAACGCTTCTCAGAGCGCTTCTCAGAGCGCTTCTCAGAACGCTTCTCAGAGCGCTTCTCAGAACGCTTCTCAGAACGCTTCTCAGAGCATCTCTCAGAGCGTTGCCCTGAGAGCTGAGCCCCATCAACAAGGTATAAGAACCAGTCTTGTAGATGTCCTTTTCCACAAGGATCAAATTATCAATAGTTACTTCACTTGACCTCACCAGCTACACTGGTACATTACTTCATGCTGCTTGATGGGTCCTTCCAAGCATATTATCACAACTTCTCCATCAACCAATCCATAAGTATATCGTTCTTAGTAAACCATCACAATCCATCTGTCTTTAGTCAGTCCAAGGTCAACCAAGGACAGATCGTAACATCTCGCGCAGACAACGTTTTCCACCGAACCTCATCGCTCAAGCAGATATGCCATGAGCAGGCTGATTCCTGAATGATGGGCAATGCGGACAACGTTTTCCATTCAAGATCCCCTTTCATCCATTCAAGTCAGGTGTGGTGTGTGTCCCTTTATAATCATCAGAGTCCCATTCCAAAATGCCCGGGTAGCGCAATGGTCAACGCGTCACCTTCCTACGCTATTGTAAAGCATGAGGTGAAGATTGCGGGTTCGAGTCCCGCCTTGGGTTGAACTTTTACGCGCAAGGACACGAGAAAACTAACTTTTTTGTTTTTCACCGCGCGCCATCTGCCGACATAGAAGCTCATGCCTTAAGCTTTCGAATTCTTTGTTACTTGGTCAACGCGTCTGGCGGCTTGCTATGTTTGAACCCGGCAGGTTGCCACGGGAATCTGTGGGCAGCTCGATATTTCTCGCGATGTTACTAGCCATCCTGACGTCCTAGTGATCGCCACAATACGTCTCGGGTTGAAGCCGTACAGATACTAACCCGAACACGAAAGCGGTTGACATCAATGACAAAGTTTCGGGTAAGCGCAAGGCAGCATGGATGTAGTCGTCTCAGTTGATTGGAAGAGCCTCAAGCAAGATATTTTGGCCCTTCATGGCGAGACCACCCGACCGTATCGTCTGTCAGGACGGCCACTTGGGGATCATGACTGCCTCTGGACGAGACCTAGACTGAGGGAATTAGAGTAATAACTAAAGAAGCAAGAGATATATTCTCGGGGAACTCGTAGTCTAAAGTGTAGCCTTTATATATTTCGTACTCTTATCTTAACTTCCCTGAAGTTGAGATGCTACTAGCTGCATTGGTTCTAGCGCGTCCCGACAGCGTCCTCTGCCTGTTAGCCCATCAAAAGTGGATGCTTAGGTCCTCAAGAGACAGCAGGAGTCCGTTGCTGACAACAAACAAGCGGCAAGAGGCTCTCCATGGAAAGTCCTGCACTCATGCCTAGTTCTGTGCGTTCGTGTCAGGACGGCAACTTGGGGATAGGAACTGCCTCTGGGCGAGACCTAGACTGTGAGAACTAGAATAATAACTAAAGCGACAAGAGATACATTCTCTGGGGAACTCGTAGTCTAATTCTAGTCTTTATGTACCATGTACTCTTATCTTAGGATGCTACTAGCTGTATCGGTCCTAGCGGGTCCTGACAGTTCGATGGATCATACTATCATAACCAACCTACAGTACTTATATACATACGATTGACATGGACACATACATATAGTTTCTACTGACCATATTTACACATCTCTCCCATGATAGCTACATGATCCTTTAGAAACATTGTTACGAGGCTACCGGACAGAAAACAGGATTTAAACTGCTATTCTCAATATTAGTCTTGCTTTGGTGTTGCAGAGCAGCATACTTAGCCTCTTCGTCCTCTCCCCGGATTCACAGCAATAGTCTATGCTCATGTGACAGATCACTAGATGGCTAGTATAGAGCACGAATCGTAGAGTGTCTTCGAAGGCGTTCGTTGATCCTTTGATCGTCAGACCAAGATCACTGTGGAGCTTACTCTCGAACTTGTCTTCTGTGCTCAACCAAATCTGACACATCCATCCGTTCCCTCTGCGCGTTCAGCCTAGTGTTAATAACGGACTCTTTCACGTCGTCTGCTTGCACGTCATCAATTTTGGTCCTGCAGATAGGACATGACTGTACGGTTAGTAGTGGTACTGCTCTTTTACTCACTTTGCCCTGCTCTGTGCATCTGGTTCGGACTGCACATCCGTAACAGAATGTATGCCTTAATTGTGTTGGTGCTCGCTATCCACCCAGCAAGCTCACCAGCAGGGAACAAGCAACATAGGCTCCGTAAATATAGACAGACAGCTATGTTGATCAGAAAGAAGGTTCGCTGGATAAACCCACATGGGGCAGAACAGATCTGGCCAGGTGTCCTTGGTGGGAAGTCTGCGTGGTGGACCATGAGGGGCTGGTACTGCTCTGGCTGGGAATTCAGGGCCTAGGCTGACGACTAGCGGACGAGGGTCGGGAACTGGGTGATCTGCATCGTAAGTGTGATTGCTGTCTGAACCGACCTCTAGGAGTTTCTCTTGGCCTCAAAGCTACTTGGGGGATGACTGGATTAGCCCCTGAAGAGCCTCCTGGCGCTCCTCCTGGCGCTACTAATGCCGAGGAGGTTCTTCGGCGAACGTTACGGAGCGGCTGGGCTGCTGTTGCTGGAAGAGGCTCAGAAGCGTGTTCCCGGGTCGAAACGCCTGCTGGCGAGGGATGAGGGGGTATCTGAGACATCAGCTAGGCTTCGAATCAACGATGGCTTACTAGCAACGGAATTCTAATTTGACTGTGCTTGCACTTCCTGCCCTTTGAATTTCGACCATGCTGGAAGCACACGCCCAATAAGATGTCGCCATTCTCGCACAGGGTCGATCTATCAAAGATGGCAGGCTCCCCGTTGTCGCGCAGGCTTTCCACACTCCGAGTCGTCAGTACAGTATCAGGAAGGAGGAGCTCACGTCAACGCAACAGAGGGCCACATTCTGTAGTTAGCGATTACGCCTGGCACAGCGTGGATGCTGTCCTCAAAGGGCGGTGTGACTAATTCAATGTTCCATAGGTGAGCGTTTACTGGATGGTAGTGAGGGTTGTCCTTGAAGAACCGGTCAGTAGCTTGCTTGATCGGGAACCCGTTAATCCTCGCGTCAGGGCCTAGGCGTGAGGGGTGAGTTACTGGCAGCTGGTCAACCTTTGGCGAGACGTCAACGAGAAACCTGGATCGTGGAATAGTATTGAGAAGGATGTGCTCTGGCTGGGCCATGGTGACTGTAATACTTGTAGAATAGGAAGAAGGACAATAGGAAGAAGGACAATAGGAAGAAGAACAATAGGAAGAAGGAGAACAGGAAGAAGAACAATAGGAAGAATGAAAAGAAAGTCACTCGCGCGGATACAACTCCGGCCACGTGGAGAAAATAGGCTCGCTGCAGATCTTCCTATCCTATCTATTCGGCCCTGCATTCCTGGCCGACATGTTACTACCTGTTTTGATATCCAAGCTTACCCCGCAAGCGTTTGTATCCATTGCTATCACAATCCACATTGCAGCTGTAGAATATCACTCTTTGGTGTCTTGCCGACTCAACCGCCTCCACCCCTTTGTCATGCCTGAACTTCCCCACGACCTAGTGTCCTCGTCATCGCTTCACCCCTCTCCTCTTCTCGAAGACTCTTTTCATGCGTCTTCATCTCGGCTTCGTCGTAAAAGGCGGAAAACAGACTTGCCCGTCTACTCCTCCGGCTCAAAACCATTGTCCCGCACCTCATCAGGCCTCGAGGATGAGTATCCCCCGACAGGCGTTTCTATGACTTCATCTTCCTCTCGCGGGACCTACGATACACTGCCACTGTTAATACTCCTCCCAGACCAGGTTTGTCAGCTGCCTCCCCTTCGTTTGCGAGGCGGTGGTCGCAGAGGCAAGATCCGAGTAAAGCCGGGCAAGCGGCCTGTGACTCGCTCTGTAGCGCAAGACTTCGCCCCCGAAGTCAGCCTGGAGCTCATAAGTGCTGAGGATGCTGCCGTCAAGCGCGAGTTGGCACGGTTAGGAGTCGGTCTGCGTGACGTAGAGGGTGATGGCAACTGCCTGTTTCGTGCCCTAGGCGATCAGCTGTGGGGCGACCAGAAGCGGCATCCCGAGGTACGCAAGCTCGTGTGCGACTTTCTCGAGAGGAGGAAAGAGGATATGTTGCCGTACTTTGCATCCATCGATGAGTCGTATGACCAGTATGTGGCGAGAATGAGGCAGTTCAGTGAGTCTTTCTTATGGACAGCGTTGACCGGTAGCTGTCTTTGGGACTGGACTAGAGGTACAGGCTGCCGCAAGAGTCTTTCAACGCGATATCCGCATCGTGACATCTACCGTGAGTCACTCTTACGGGTTAAGCTGATGAGCAGAGCTCTTTCACCGTTCCATGGCAAAGAGAAGGCTCGCCTGAGCCTCCTCCTGCGGATCCGGCAGACAGCGGAAAGCCTCGCCGGCGCACGCGATCATCTACCAACAATCTCCTCTCGACTCCCTCTGCTCCCCCGCCGTCATCTCCATCGTACGCCTCTGCACTGGCTGAGTACATCCCAGCAGTGCGCCCGGGCCGCAGCATGCTGTGGCTTGCGCTTTTCTCAATGGCGGAGCACTATCAATCGGTGCGGAGAAAAGGTGACGGTGGAGGTGCTGCAGAGATAGAGGACAAGTTGGCGGTGTATCATGAGATGGACAACTCAGAAGCCGCTCGGAAGGCTCGTGGAGAAATAGTCGCTGGAGACAGCGGAACAGCATACGGCCGTCTTGTCGCTCTGCTGCCACCCTCACATGGCTTGTCCACAGCACTGATCAAGGCAACTCTCGGCCGGACGCAGAACGATATTCACGCTGCGCACGAGATCCTACTGGAAGAGCTCGCCTTGGACGACGGCGTAGAAGACCCTAAAGACAAGGTATCTTATCGCGAACCGAGTCCGACCAAATCATCGACACCAACCAGCTCAGCATCACACGGCGGCGAGAGCACAGAACCTACTACCCCTGAAGAAGTGCTAGGGAAGCCCGATGACGGATTAGAGGAATTACATGATTTGAAGATGAAGATCAAGCCTCAGCACAAGACAAGACAGTCGGCGAATCGGCGTGTATGAGTTAATGTAGTCAGACGTTGTATAAACGGTGTAGCATACAGCCCAGGCGCATATATATATACTCAGCATAGTGTTGTATAGACAATGCATATCCCATATTTCGAGGCTTGTTTCGGTCACGGGTCACTCCACTTGCCGGAGACGTCATTTTGGTTGAATTCGCATCTTCGTCGTTTTAGCTTGCAATAGTTTCATTCATCTCGCTGTTGATACTTAAAATGGTCGAACTCAAGAAAGAATCATCAAACAGAGTGTCCACTGGGACGCTCACAAAGTACTCGTTTGCATCTGGCTCGCTTGGGGGACTCACGACGCAGCTTAATGTGTTTCTTCCTTCGACGGCAAGCTCTAGCTCTCCAGCTCCTATTCTGTTCTACCTCGCAGGTCTTACGTGCAACGAGGATACCGGCAAGTACTTTGCTCATTCACAAAGCAAGTGTAATCTGACTTTCTATAGGTGCACAGAAGGGTGGTTTCTTGAATACGGCGGGTAAAGAGGGCATCGCGATGATTTTCCCCGATACCAGTCCTCGAGGAGCTGGTGTTGAGGGAGAAGACGACG